ATTTTCTGAACGTCACATAACATATATATATATTTTTAGTACAACTGTCTATATAGGCGAAGAAGAAACGCATATTGCGTACACATCCCGTGATGATGAATTACTTTTGATAGCTTTACCTGGCAAATGGTGAATTTTACTTCAGAGTATAGTATTGGAAAGAATACAGCAATTATTTTAACATGAATTTTATCAATCACTTCTTTGTAGCTGTACCTCTCAGGAGATTATCAAGATTACAGAAGACATTGTCAGAACATTAGAATTTACCTATCAATCGCTAACGAAATGCTTTACTTCTGTGGAAAATCAGTTTTTTTTGGATCATTTTTTCATTCTAATTATGCACAGATTAACAAATATTAAAGATTCCTACAAAGAAGCTGATATTAAAAAAAAGTCACAAAATAGTACTGAAAGTGTGGAGAATTATAAATTTAGAAGCGCTTTTTCAGTGGCAAGCTTTATACAATTACCGAGAGACGCGCAAATTCAAATAGACGCCGCGTTAAGTGAGATGGAAGCTATGGATTACAGAGACTGGGTATATCGACACTTATTTCAATTATATTTTAAATAATTAATAATATGCTTATGTTAAAATGTAAATCTACATTAATTATATCTAACAAACGTATATTTAACAGAACGAAGAGCCTATGGATTGTCAAAGATTATATACTATATTAGGGAGCTGCATTTATCACAAGAGCCATCTTCTAGGATCTCATTTGCCTCACGAAGATCTGATCGACGTACATTCGTTCTTGAGACATAACGGTTTATTAAATCTGGTGAGCCAAGAACAAGTAAAATGCCTAGTTCTGTGGAAACAAATTTATCCTTCGTCTTGCAATCGTGGTAATATTGACAGCAACGACAGCAGCCAGTTATTAATATCAAATGGAAAATGGTTTTTATTGGTTGTCGGGTATGGGCACGATTTATTAGCGGTGCTGTTGGAATCTGGTGGATGCACTGCAAAGTGAGTGTGTATTAATTTACATGAATAGTCTAAATATTGCTTTTTATTTAAGTTTTATCATTCAATTAGATACAATGACGCGATTGGCCCAGATGTATTTTACGTGGAAGAGGCTCAAGAGACATTAAAGCATGTACAAAAAATAGGAGTCACAGTCTTGGCATCGAAATGGATTACATCCAATACCAGACCCGAAGTAATACCATATGAGGAACATACAACAACGAAAGCGTCATCCAGTATAACGGAAAACTTATTTGGTTTGATAAAGTCAACGTCTGACGTGCAAACTGTATTGTCTAAGCAAAATGTCAATCCTGCTATTAGTAAGAAACCGCAAGAATTGCCTTCTATCTTGAAGAAACGAAATTCTGAAGAAAATCCCGTGATCTTGGGTTCTAGTAAGTTTCAATGTATGCAAGTCAATTAGTGAAATCTATTCAAATATATAATTTCTTATACTATATCTTAATTCTTTTTGTCACTTTTACAATATACGTAAGACAGTATGTATTATATAAGTTGTTTTATTTCTTATATATGTATTATTTTACAAGTATATGGTATATATCCTTTCACATATTTAGTGTATTCCTTACAAACCTCCGAAGATTCACTCAGCCAAGGAACAGGTGGTATTAGCGAAATGAGCGATGAGGCAATGCCCATACTTGGAAGACGAGCAATCAGAGAGAAGATTAATTCGGCATCGAGATATTCGGATGACAGTGATTCAGACATCGATATATATAAGGTAAAACACACACACACTCTCTCTCTCTCTCTCTCTCTTTTTCTCTCAAAAAATACATAGTGTTTGTTTCAAATACTAATATATTTATCAATACTTTCTCATAGAACGATAGTAACGTGCTTACAATGGATATATCCAATATACGAGAGAACTTGTTAAACCAAGCAGAATATTTGATACCTCAAAAACTAACTGCAGGTGATAAAAATTGTTTGTATTATTATGTTCATTTGGACATGGTGGAAGGAATTCTATTAACATCAATACCTATTCAAAATACATCAAAGGATAACAAGATTCTTGTTAACTTTAATAAGTGTGTACATGTTATTCATAGACTGTTACGTAATACAGTAAGATTTAAGATGTTGAATCAAGATATAGACAAAACGGTAATCAACAAAAGTTTAATCGCTGTTAAAGAACACGGTGTATTATTTGAATGGGAAAATACAGCTTTTTGGGTAATTGGACGCCTCTATACGAGCCCTCATCCAAAGGAATTGTACGTGTGCCATCAAGACTCTGCACCTCAGAACCTAATCGAAATAGCTTTTCAGTTACACTCGTAACACTTACACTTTGTATGTATATAGAAAATATGCATATTTTGAATAAATTTTTATTATATACGCAACACACTGTATATAAATTATTTTTAATTTGTAACTGTGATAATAAAAACGTAATCTTAAAATAATTACTTTTTATTAGGTAGTTACAGTCAATATTTTATAAAAAATTTTATATATTTAACATTTTATATACTCATACTTATTTTTTATTTCATTGGAATCAATGACTTTTTGTTACATAAAACTTTTTATTAAAAAAGCAGAGGGAAAATCCTTCATAAATTAACTTCTTTAGTTTGACCTCTCTGTCTTTTGTTCTAATACCTGTTGTTTTAATTGTGTTTGTTTACACTTGCAGTGCAAGTGCAAATATTCTCAGGAATTTTCACAGAAACACATGCTCCAGCCATTTTACTGCCATAATGTCCTGCCCAATACAATCTGTCTCTCCCACTGTGTTCAAATGAGATAACTCTGAGACCAGTTCCATAGTTTTCAAATACATGTGAAACCTGTGATAAAGCATACAAAAAATATAAATTGAAGATTATATGTATCCCATATTTCAATTTTCATTACGTAAAACAAATTATTACGTATTTTTTAATACTCACTTGCAGCCATCTATTCTGTTTCTCTCCTTCTAGAATATCTTCAAATTTAAACTTATCCATTTGTTCTTCGTCAACACCAATTAATTTTACTTCCAATTGATATTTTGCTGGACAGTCCCATCGACAGCTGTACCATTCGCTTACCTGCACATACATGACATGTATAATCTACAATTGCATACAGTGCGTGCGTGCGTGCGTGCGTGCGTGCGTGCGTGCGTGCGTGCGTGCGTGCTGTTTATACATATAATTTTCATCACAAAACTTGATGATACCACTATAGGCGGTTGATAAGTGTCTAGGATGTATGGATGAATCCCTTCATCTGTCAGATAGATATCTTGCATTTTGGAACAACGTTGATAAGATGTTGTGAAACAGATCTGTCTATCTTTAAACATTTGTTCGGTTTGCGGCAGTTCTGGCACGCCGACGGGAGGGTCCTCAATCCTCCAATGATCACCGCCATTCGAACCTAAGTCCCAATGATGCATACCTTCTGCGCCGGAATGATTTCTCAGCAAGTTCCTCTCATACGGTTTCTTAGTGCATGCGAAATAAAATACGGACCAGGGGATTTTGTCGTTCCATGGAAACGATTTAGCCAGCGTCTGCTCGGTCTTTTTATGCCAGACGTAATTCATCAACATCTTCCAGCGTTTACATACCAACTGACAATTCATCAGAGTCTTGCAGTCGACATAGCAAAAGATCTCTATCAGGATTTCGACCGGCAGGTATTTATCGCAGAGTACCAAGCCATTGTCACCCTCTTCATCAAACATCACTCGAGGACTTGAAGGAATAGTATTGAACTGTCCCATCATCTGTTAACTGTTAACACACACTTGACTTGACACGTTACGTCGTGATGCACTGACGCCTATGATGTGTTTACGATGTCGCCGATGTTGCTTCGATGTCAAGAGTGGTCACCGAGGCGATCTCGAGAAAGCGTTTCGCCATCATCGCGTCTGAATTTCCGCAAACTTTTGTTACGCATGATGCAAAAGTACACGTTTTTGAATACGCAATATTGAATATTTGACACTACGTTCGATAAAAACAAGCGACATTTTCCGCGATGTCGCGGGAAAAATCGCCCGCCGTGTCACTCGAATCGAACAAACGGAACGAAATTACGAAACGTCCAAAGTGACGCAAATGACCTTGCAATCGCAATTACTTACGATTTATCGCGTGCTCTCTTCAAAGCTTTCTCTTCAAAGTCACAGTTTGTAAGGACCTTCGTACCCGTACGTGGAAAGTAGCGCAAATCGATATCAATAATATGCTTAGTTAGTCATAATGGAAGACGTGTACAGCCGGAATTCTCTCTCTCTCTCTCTCTCTCTCTCTCTCTCTCTCTCAATAGGCGCGAATCCCGTTCCACTCTTTTGACACGTGACTGACGTGACTCCTATTATTATCTATGTTCGTCTCCCTGTTCGTTTCAAACAGTTTCGAGATGATGGTCAATGAAAGAAATCTGCTCCTTTATAATTTGACGAGCATACCCCGTGAAGAGCATTATATTGCACATCATGATTCATGTATCATTTCATCCTTGTTGTGCATTGAACATTACATGTACATACTTTATGTACTGAGCTCTATATTGGAGCATGTCTTTTATACGTATATTAAAACTATGATGACGAAGGAAAGGAAAGCAAACAAATACTTGTCTTTTTTTTATTCATTTTTATTTGTGACAGATAAAACATTAGCCAATCAGAATTCCTGACAAAAAAAATAGTACAATCTTTACATTAGGATGTCGTTATCTAGAAATTGGGACACCCCACTCCCCGATGGCTCGATCCGAACTATAGTGCTCATCATGTATCATTTTAACCTTGTTATTCACCAAACATTAAAGGACAAAATGATAAATCATGCGTGAAACGGAGTACATCCAAGGTTTCTACGAGCAACGCAACACAGGATATTGTTGCTCTAAACTAAATTCCTCTATTCCCAAACAACTAAAACATTTCGAGCTCATTTCTGCTGCTGCTCTCGAAACGGATGCAAAAGGGTGGAGGAAATTGTATAACGATTACGTGTAATTATGTTGAAAGTTCCTTTATTTTCTGCAGAGTAGTATAGCGTTGCAGTACAAAAACATCGTGTCGTTTAAAGGAAATAGGTGCGTGGCTTCCGGACGCTAAACAGCGGCATACGATTTCTGTGCTGAATTCGCTTGGGCAACGGGAACTTGATCTTGGAGTCGTGGAACTGCTTCACTTGGGGCCTGCGGCAATTCGCAGCCTTCACAACCTCTACCTTGATGATCTGTATGGAGTGGGCGCGTGCACGATGACGGGCACCCATGTCCCTATAGCATTGCGTTACCGCCCCACTGACAGAGAGGTCTCTATACTCCCTATACATGTTGTGTGTACCAGATCGAGAATCGTACCTCAGCCATATTCCAAAGTTCTTGATTTTCATTGGAGTTTTCTCAGGAATCTAAAAGAATCAATTTTATCTTATCAACATATAAAGTTATCCAATATATAAACACAAATGAGACATTAAATTTGTTATATCTGTTTTTAACAATGTAAAATAACTCTAATTAAGTTACTCTTTATTTTTCTCTAGTTTTAAGAATTGGAAAAGGATAAGGAGTAAATTAAAGAGATTAGAATTAATCTACACTGATGAAAATGGACATTAACAATACTTTTTGTCCTTTAATTTACTTTCTCTTTTCCAACATCTGCATTTTCATTTTAAGTGCAACAAGTACAAAATACTGCAGTTACAAAGAACATATCTAATAAAACAAAACTGCAGTTGCGATAAGTATTGTGAGATGAGTACCTGCTTAAGAGACACGATCTCTCCGGTGGACTTCTTAAACTTCTTTAACTGACGCAAGAAGTACCAAAACCTGGACTTTGCTACGATAGCATCCGGCGCGAATATCCTCATTTTGTACAGCGGCGTGGTCTTCTCCTTCTCGGTGGGGAGCTTGCGCCCTATTACCTCGAATTCTTTAAGCTGAAAGAAAAAGGAAAATGATCATTTCATTCGAATTTATATCACAAATTGGTTGTATTGGATTATACGAGCATGCCTTGGTGTGGGACAGTTATAGGTTAGATCACGCCGTGTATCCGTGCAAAGCTCTGTTCAACGTTTTCGCGCGAATTCCAAGTGACTAATTAATACTTGGGATAAGAAAAAATAGCTTTCGATATTGATCTCGCTTATTCCTCAAGTAAAATTTGTAAAAATTACTTACTTCACCCTTAGCTTTCATTGTATCGTGCAACACGTTACACTTGCACGTTTAACGATAAACCGGAAAGGAACTACCACCATCTTGCACGGAAATTCTGCTGTGGCCATTTAATTTTGCTTTTTGAAAGACCAATTGAAAAAGAGAACGTAAAGAAAAAATGTTATAAATATTTTTATTTGTAAAAAATTATAATTTTTTAATTGCTTGCAAAAGAAGATACACTTTAGAAGAACATACTTTTATTTCTCTTATAATCAACACTAAAACTGCACTTTAAAATTAATATTACAAAATTTTAATGATTTAAAATATTCAAATATTATTTTCTGGAAAAATCTTATTTTTTTGTTGTAGCAAGCGAGTGTATACGTATATGTGCATAATGATACACATATATAGGATTTCAATAAATATTATCAGTATTCTTCCAATATACTGATATTACTAGGAAACACGTTATTTCATCAATCTTTGAAGCTTTCCATTTAGTAACATAAGTCGATATAAACGTCGTTCCATCTTTCTTAGCATTCCATTATCCATGAATAATGAAGACAAAACGATTTATATCACTAAATGGAAAATACACTTTATACAAACAGATCATAAATTCTTTTTGTTTCTAATCCGTGAAATATTTTGTGCATATATATGTATATATGAAACATCTCTTCCAATTGCTTATGTTTGAAACGTTTAATTCAGTCAGCTTTACAAAATAAAATGTACACAAATTCAAACATGCATTTTTATTTAATTCTATTTATACAGGCTATAAATAATACATTAATTAATCGATAAATACATTATAGATGCTAAACAATATCCTTAGATCTTTTAGTCAAAATTGATTGGAACAATTTGATTAAAATGTTTTAAATGTAATTATTTTTTGTATTTTCAAACAAAATTGCATCATTTCTTTACTATCAGCTTATCTTTAAATGAAATTACATGTTCTCTTCTTCATTTGCAAATAAATATGTAATACCAATTATTAGAAAGAGAACAAACAACTTTGTGTTTTGCAACTTGTCTTTAATTTATCCGAGATTTACATGAGAACTAAATCAAATCTTTTCCTGCGCAATCATCAGGAGGTATTGCCACAGATTTATTCCAGCCTTGTATAAAGCATAAGAACTATGATATTACAAAGACATTTTACGACCCTCTATAGATATATCTACTGCTCTTCTTGCTGATTTCATACGTTTACTGTCCATGTAGTTCTTCATGTGTCTTTCAAATCGGCTCATTTGTTTCTTGGTACTCTGCACAGAATAACGAAACACCATTGTGTATAAAGAATTGTAATAGCATATGATTTATATAGCCAAAAATCTTCAAATGTTATGAAGCAAGATATTAAGGAAAAGAACACCATTGAACATTAATAACTAGATTAGAAATTTAGAAGTGAACAATTTTATCCAAAATTTAAATGTAAAATTTCATTTATAAGTAAAATCTAAGATAAATAATCATAAATAATTAAACATATTTATATATAGCAATTATGTCTTTATAAAAGCAATTTTTATTTTTATTCCAACTCTATAAGTAACAAATACCTACCCTACTAATATCAACATCTGATTTCCAGTCAGGTCGTATGACATAATCTTTATTAGATGGCCTAGGAACTCTAGCCCTTCCCACCCATCCAGGATCTCCCGGTCTCAATGGTCTATAAGATGAAAAGAGTTCAATGTAATGAAAGTGTAACAATTAACATCAATATTAACGATTATATTATCAACGACTATACTTGGAATCTCCTTTCAAAGCCTTATTAATATCCTGTGATTTTTGAGAGGATCCTCCGTCCTCAATTTTTCTTCTTTTTTGAGGTGTCTGTTCCAAGTCCCTCTGCATCCTCTCTTCTTTCGAAAGCGCCTTAAAATCCGCCGATAAATTAAAAATAGGTCGGGCCCACTCATTAATCAACTTTCCAGCGCGTTCCTTGTTCTCTTTCGTTTCTTTTGGGTGCTTATAAAGATACATCACAGCCTTTCCAATACCGGATTGCTTCAGCGAAGATTGGTCAATTTTTGGAAACTATAAATGATATAATAAATAAATTAATAAGTGATGTAAACATGTTTCTTTTTATCGAATGGATTTATCTCATTATGATCTTACCTCCCATAACAATTTTAGAAGATTGTCTCTGATTTTAAGAGATGGCAACGAACGGTCAGGCATTGGTGCTAACCAGTCAGTAAGGACCGACAGAACGTTATGTTCTAAGAAAGCCAATTGTAGATCATGCTTTTTCAGTTGCGACAATACTTTCGATAACATGGCAATCTTATTTGTAGCAGGTTTATTTTGTTGATTCAATTTTCTGTCTTCTTCAGCTGCAGCTTTCATATCCGATAATAACTGTGCTATAATATCATCGTTATCATTAATGATACCAATGTCCTTTCGTTTACGTCTACGAGATTGTTCCTCTTTTTTCCGTGCTAACATACGGTCAAAATCGGACAGCATATCATCCCTGAAAATATTAGATACGTTTTTGTTTTACTAAATTTTATCGCATTTTATAATTTTAATCCTCCAATATATTTTATATTATTTTCAGATCTTGCAGTTAAATATATTCTTACATTCCACTACCAGTAATAATTCCATCGTCAGAATCTTCGTTATCCTGTTGATCATGGACAGTTGTTACATCTAATTGTTTATTTGCCTCATCTTCATCTTCCTTCTCTTGATGTATCTCATCGTCTTTTTTTCTTTCGTTCTCATCTTCATGCTCGGAATCCGACAAATCATTTTTTATTAGTTTCTTTGCTTTAGCTTCATCAGTCTCTTCTTCAGAATCTGATAATACTTTATTTCGTTTTCTAATTACTTCATCTGAATCTCGGCTAGGACTTCTGGATTTTCTAGATCCGGAGATGGATCTCGATCTCGATCTAGATCTAGATTTAGAACGTGATGAATGTCTAGATCTGATGCTCGAGCCAGACCTTGATCTCGATCTTGATCGTGAGCGTAACTTCGATCTCGATCTCGATCTTGATCTGGATCTTGACCCCGATCTTGAACCTGAATGTGAGTCTGAACGTGATCTTGAGCCAGATTTTGACCTTGAACGAGATCGCGATCTCGACCTCGATACTGATTTCCTGGATTCAGAACGAGATCTTGATCGCGAAGCTCTTGAAACAGAACGGGATCGCGAACTGGATCTGGACCTTGAACGAGAATTCTTCCTTGAATGTGTAGGAGATACGGAACCTTTACGTGAACCCGATACAGACCCTGATTTTCCTCTAGATCCAGATTTTTGCGATCTTGATCGCGATCGTGAACGCGAGCCTTTTCTTGAACTCGATAAGGATCTAGATTTCGATTTATATTTTGAATGTGATAAAGCCCGTTCTCGCGATGGTGATTTTGATTGTTTCCTAGATCCGGACCTTGATCTAGATCTTGACTTGGACTTTCTATCTGCCGAATTGGAATGAGATCTAAATCGAGGGCTTTTCCCTAAATCTGGAGAACCTTTTCTAGAGCTATTCACAGAACGTGATTTTGACCTTGATCTTGATTGCCTCGCTGTCACTGGAGATCGATTTGGCGATATTGAAGGCGAACGAGAATCTTTCTTGGATCCAGATAGAGATCTTGATCTTGAACTAGCTTTGACTTGTTTGGGATTTGCTGATCCTGACCTTGATCTTGATCTAGATCTTGATTGGAAAGACTTGGGAGTTCCCGATCGGGAATGTGAATGTACCGATGTTTTTGGAGAACCAGAACGGGATCGAGACAGAGATTTTGAACAAGATCGCGATTTAGAAATTGTCCGCAGCGAAGGAGATTTAGAAGTCTGAAAGTTTGCCTTTGGAGATATACATTTAGATGGAGTATTATTTGACTTCGGGGAATTTGATCTTGATCTAGAACGTGAACAAGAAAAAATATTTCTTGATGCTGCACGAGAACTTTTAGACGAAGAGTGAGAGGAGCTTCGAGATCTCGAGCCAGATTTAATAGACCGATGTAAATGCACCGGTGGTGATTGTGAGCCATCTCTTGCACTTGTCTCTATATGTTCTGGAGAATAGGATTTAGAACGTGATCTAGATATACTTCTTTTATTATTCATTGGTGAGATAGATCCATTCGGTGAAGGTGATCTGGATGATGATCTAGAATAAGACTTTCTAGAACTTGCATTGGAACGGACAGAAGCTGGTGATCGATTTTGCATCAGGGACGATTGATTTGACCTAAAAACAAAAAAATTTTAATTCTAGTTAGAACAAAAGAATGTTAATTTCAATTTCTAAAAATATAGAGATAATTAAGCAAGTAAAATATGAATATTAGATACCTGGCAGGTGAAGATTTTGGACTAGCAGAATGTGATCCGTTTCTTGCTGCATTGCTACCTGATTTTTGCGAATTTGGAGTACTGCTTCTGAACTTATCATGTTCTTCGTCTGAATCACTTCTTTCGTCTTAAAAAGAAAAAGAAAAACAATTCACATATGATATGTAGTTCTTTTTACAAAATTTCTAAAAAGAAGAATATATAATTGGATGAAACAATGAAGAAATACAGATATTGTCTATACATACATTTTTATATCATTTTAAATATTCTTGTGGTCTTTAGATTAATATATCTGTTATAAAAATGTACCTATATAGGTACCTCAAAACATCATGTTTTCATATAAACTTGATTTTATATATATTCAGGTAATAAAATGTCTTGAACAAAGTTTGGATTTCAATGAAGCAATAATATAAATAACTATCCTTACCTTCAAAACCCATGGCATCTATGTTTAATGTGGTAAAAAAATGTGGCTTGTCACGATAAATTAATAAAAATTTTGCACCGACTGATCACTGAATATAACCGTTATGTTCTTTTATATATTTAACAATAGTTCAAAATCGTATATTTTTCACGTCAGACGTGCCGCTTCTTTTCATATATCGACAAGAAGTCGTATGTTGGTTTAGTACATGCGTAATATCAGTCTTTCTTTTCGGACAAGTAACATAACCAACTAAGATTTCCGGTAAATAGAAACTGATAGAAACTATCAAGTTTTCAATTATACATTTCTATTTTCTCAATTCTCTCATGTGTTGTGAGATACTTTAATGGTGAAGTATCACTCTTTTCTATAATTGAAGCTCTATTTTCTTAATTAACGTCAGTAAATGTCAGCACTAAATTCTCTTCTTCTTCTCTTTAATAATTGTTTTTTCGACCCATTGTAAAAAGCATAGAACCATGCGAATCCACTAAATCCACTCTCTCTCTTATATAAAATTCTCTCGTTTATTAAAAACGTTAATGAATCATTACGAGTTGTGAACTTCTACTTTAATAACCTAGGACGGAATCCATAGACGGTGCTCAAGATTCGAGATGGTTTAAGCACAGTATATACCACAGTATATACAGTAGCGTAACTATGAATACTGGCCTAAGACCGGACTATGGATTCCGGCCCTAGGCCAGTATTCATAGTCAGATCTTACATTCAAGACCGTCTTAAGTACAGTCTTAAGATGTCACGAACCAATCAGGGCCGCATTAGTGTCTTAAGACATTACTTAAGACAGTCTTGATATAAGAATCGACTATGAATACCGGCCATAGTCAGATCTTATATTTAAGACCGTCTTAAGTTCTGCCTTGAGGTGTCATGAACCAATTAGAGGGTCGCATTAGCATCTTAAGATATTACTTAAGACGGTCTTGAATATAAGAACTGACTATGGCTGGCATTCATAGTCGATTTTTATTTAAAGACCGTCTTAAGTAATGTCTCAATATGCTAATGCGGTTCTCTGATTGGTTCGTGACACCTCAAGATTGAACTTAAGACGATCATGGGTGCGTTCCAAAACTCGACTCTATCAACTCCGAGTACCTTTTATCCTTGTTCAACATTAGATGAAGAACAAGGATAAATAATACTCGGAGTTGATAGAGTCGAGTTTTGGAACGCACCCCTTGAATATAAGAACTGACTATGAATATCAATCTATGACTACGTTTACACGGAACCATTTACGCCGAAGTTATAACATCGATATTATGAAACTGGCCAATCACAATCATTCCATTCTTTTGAGGAATAGCTATAATTGGCCAGTTTTATAACATCGACGTTGTAACTTTGGCGTAAATCAAGCCGTGTAAACGTAATCATAGGCCGATATTCATAGTCGATTCTTATTTCAAGATAGTCTTAAGTCACTAATGCGACCTTCTGATTGGTTCGTAACATCTCAGAGCTGAACTTAAGATAATCTTGAATATAAGAACTGACTATGGTCCGTATTCATAGTCAGGCCTTATATTTAAGACTTCCTTAAATTTATCTTCAGATGCTCTACGAATTATTTCATTGACTACTGAGCATCTATATAAAGATAAATTTAAGGAAGTCTTAAGTATAAAGTCTGACTACGGGCATATGAATACCGGCCTTATTTTGTTTAAAGCTGGTTCTACATTAGTCGCATCGCAGCGTCGCAAGCGTTGCGGTCCAATCAACGACAAGTTAGCTCGACTCTGATTGGACCGCAACACTTGCGACACGCTTGCGACATTACGATGCGACTAATGTAGAACCCGCTTAATGTAAAACCAGGGGTGCGTTCGGAAACCTATTCCCCAGGGTAGGGTTCACCCAAACCCGTTTGTAAACGTTATTTTTTCCCCATTCCCCGTTCCTAATAGCGTTCGAAAACATATGGGAAAAATTCCCAGAGTGTTCCCTGCATACCTCACTCGAGAGTGCGGGAAAGATTACCTATCTTGCGCAGTGTATTAAATCACACAAGTGCGGTATATTTTCCACTTACAAGTAACACTACCCAAGTGTTAATCACCGATCGTCTTGAAATTTGGTCTACATATTCTTTAATGAAAAATATTTGATACGTATTTTTTTATATCGGCTAAAAAACATTTTAAGGGGGCTAAAAAAATGTTTTAACATTGTAAAAACTACTATCGCAACGTGTATATTGTGTCACCGTAAAAATTTTTTAATATATAAAACAAGAAACAAAAAACAAAAAAACACAAAAAATAACAAAACTAAAAAAAAATAAATAAAATTAAAAAAAAAATGGGGTCTATAATAGCACTGCAACCTCCTCGCGGTAGACCCTGGAAACTACTATCACAGTAGGCTAACTGCAGGCAAAACAAAGAAGTGTATTTTAAAATAATTATTTATTCTAATTTTGAAAATCTGACTCCAAGTTCGTATTAAGCGACCCCAAAAACACCAGTATTCACATTCTTATGGAAATTAAACAATTTCTTGAAAATTCGTCAGCCATATTGGATACGACATTTTGAATTTTAAAATTCTGACTTCAGATTCGTAATCCCCGATACCAAAAACCCCCAGGTAATACATTTCAGCCAATTTTAAATGTATTTTTCAAACATCCAAGCAAGAAGCCCACGGTGACACAATATACACGTTGCGATAGTAGTTTTTACAATGTTAAAACATTTTTTTAGCCCCCTTAAAATGTTTTTTAGCCGATATAAAAAAATACGTATCAAATATTTTCCATTAAAGAATATGTAGACCAAATTTCAAGACGATCGGTGATTAACACTTGGGTAGTGTTACTTGTTAGTAAATGTTCTGTGATTTTCCAAGCGCATATTTACAATATAATGTACAATATAATAAATAAAATAATTAAAATAAGTAAATTATCACACTGCGTTTGGAGAATACTGAGAAAACACCGATTTTTGATATGAAAAAAGAAAAAGTTCTTCTACAAGACAAAACAAGTAAATGCAATTATTTAAATTGTTTAATCCCTTTTATTAACGCATATATTCTTATTTACAAGTTAGTTATTTTGACATAATTTATTTGCGGAAACAACTTACAATTATAGATTTCTTATAACTTGTTTTATTAGAATAATACAAATAATTTTTTTAGAGATTTTTTTCAGATTCCTATTCAAACAATTTACTATTTAAAGCAGATAAGAAATATTTGTATTATTTTCTCAATCGTTGTGACAAAGTAAATAGATAGATATTTATATGTATATTTTATACGTTCAAATACATACTGATAAGAATCAGGAGTTGCTAAGAGCCAAATCACTGAAAGTAATTGCTTCTCTACTGACGTTGTTGGCTTATCAGTATACAAATTATTTTTCAAGTTTGGACCAAGAGTTGTCAATAAAACTTCAAATGTAATATGTGTAATCCGAAAGAGATTGGAATTGATGATTTGTATAATTTGATACAACTCTCTCAATACATCCCTCAATATGCTATATCTTTTTCCTTTTAGCGAACTTTTATTAATAAACAAATATTGTAATATAAAACATTCTGCACAAACTAATAATAATACACGTAACCTTAAACTGCAACAACTAACCGTTAATAATTCTTCAATTTTACTATCTGAAGACGTTTCTGAATTATATTCACAATCTTTTAGAAGTTGTGTCCCCACAACTATTGCAGTAGCAATAATTATATTTTTTTTTAAATTTTCTGCCATTTTTTCCCCCAATTTTTACTCTAATCGTTCGGCAAGTTTTCGTTTCTCATCAACCGCCATATTTATCCAT